TTAAATGATAAGGTGACGAGAAAAGTTGAAATCCGGTTGACTATCTGTCCATCCGTTCAAGCTGTAACTTGAGTAAAAATAAGGTATTTCGGTGAAACTTGGTACACAGGTTCCTTAGTACAAAACAAATTTCGAGTATGGCCGCACCCACATATCGCCATTAACCGAAAACAAATAAAGCGCTTAACTAAGATATAAAGCTGTAACCCAGCTCACTCCCAATATAACATAAAATCTTACCTGCGAGATGGTATGAGTAGACTTTATGGAAGCTGGTGTGAAAATTTAACAATGGGACTGGCACTGCCCACTTTTCGGTGAAATCCCATATCTCGGGGCATGACAAACCAATTTCAACTAAATTTAGTACGTATCATTTTTATAACATCCCTATTTTACAGTCTTAAAATATTCAGCAACTACGCCTACTTCTAATATAATACAATTTAAAATTCTATTTGACTTTCACTTACCAGTACACAAATTAAGAAGTAATTATAACGGAATAAAATTTTGCAGTAATAATTCCCTTAAAGTAGGTMACCTTTTGCCCAAAAAATGTTGAAGATCCTAGGTACCTAATATGTGCACCCCAGTATTTATAGTTGACTTTTGACCGAAAATATCGCTCAATATGTGAGATATATACTTGAAAGTCAGGGATAATCCTTCTCTGACAATGGTATGTCTGTATATAAAAAATTGGTCGAATCGGGCCAATAATTCCCTGAGGCCCCATTTACTTAATATAATATATTATATTAAGATTTGTGAACTTTCAGGTGACTTTATGCTAGACATATTAGCCATTATTTGAGTGATCTCAATGAAATTGGGAGAGCGTGTTATGACAGTGTATCTTTGTGGCAAAAATTTATAAATTTGAGAGAAAACTTTACGAAGCCCCTTATAACCATTCTCCGGCTGACTTTGCTCCATAAGATTGGTGATTATATGTGAGGTACCTTAATGCTAATAGTTAATAGACAATATAGGGTCTATACTAACCCAACTCCCATATACTACATACAGGTATAATGACAATAAATCTTACGCCGAATTTATCGGCCAGTGTATGAGTTATATAAAAAACTTCTTGGACTCCGATCCTCTGGTTTACGTTTTCCACCTTGAGGTATTTAGCTGGCTTTAATTCTTGCAAGTTGCAAGAGTATAAAATTTAATGTTGCATACGAACTTTGCCCTTTCTTACTTGTTTATCATTACTTTTATTGGCCTGTTATGTTTACTCTTCTAGCTTAACCAAGGTACATTTTCATTTGAYAAGAACTTTGTTATTGTGCGATAATAATTTGCATCAAAAACATTATGTCTGTAGGCGCCGTTGCTCAAAAGCTTTACTAAAAAATTGTTTTTTTATTACAACTGTAATTATTATGTTATTATAGGAGGTGAGAGGTGGGTTTTAGTGTCAATGTTTGCCGCCCGCTCTTTATATTTTTCAATGGACTTTTAATTGTTGCAGAAGTATCAGCTTTCAGCTTTTTTGATGGGCGCTTCTTCTTTAGCTACCTCACCTTCATCATTTTCATATATTTGATTAACATTCATACTAGTAGGTTTTGTTTCAATACTCACATGCTTTCTTTTACTAATTTTTAGTTCTTCATTTCCTTTTTTTTAACCCTATGTTATCTTTACGGTACTGATTATACACCGTTTCCAAATTTGTAAGCCTTTACGAGATACGTGAGTTGCTTTTTTTAATGCTCTTACTTTATTTACTCTAAATGAGATGAGACTGTTCCTCAACGTCACCTCACCTCAAGATGTTCAGCCATTTTTATTTTCTAGTGAATTCTCTACTGGGTATTAGCAACCTGTTGATTGATCGATAATTAAGTTTGAATAAGAAGTTTATATTTTGTTTTTATTTGACCAGTGTGACAGAGCTAATTGCAATTGTTAGAAACAGGACAACTGATATAATATATGTATAAGTATCGGGTAACGAAACAGCTGATATGCACTTTTTCCCGCGAAAATTAAATACTTGAGTATTTATTTTATTTGTTATTGTTTAGAAAACTTCTTTTAATTATGCGATTTGTTTTGTATGTTTTTTACCAATTACTACCACTAATCCAGGAAAATGTGCAATGTGTTGACAACATCGGAGCAAACACGAATTAACACAGAACACTTTTATATGAAAAATATCAAATGATTACATGGAAGATTTTAAATATTTTTGTGTGAGTAACACGTATTCTTACAGCATGCCCACGAGTAAAGAGCTGACAACTACAATATGTATAATGGAAAAAATTATAACAAATTTTAAGAAACGAWACGACATTTTTTGTCAATACAAAAATCACTTAATTTCTTCCTTGGAATATTATTCAAAGAAGCTGCTAAAAACTAAAGTCCTGGCAATTTTAGATTATAATTTGTTATTTTCCAGTGATATGAAATCGTTTATATATTGATTTTACTTTTCTTATTTTCATGTCTTGGAAAAAGCGAAGCAGTTGCGGTTTTATTAAGTTGAACCAGATAGTGCAGTTCTGAAAACTTTATGTTGATTTTTGCTATATAAGTCAAATTTTTAAAAGATGATAATAGTAAAAAGGGTATTGTGTATGTATCTTAAATRCTTTGACAGAGTGGCGTGACTTCACCTTTTAATGTGTTTAATGCCAGAAATTCTCAATTATAAAATGAATTATACCTTTAATCGGTTACAAAATATAACCACATTGGTTTTGTGTGAAAGTTAGTACCCCTTACAATTTGTACTTCCATACAACAACAGTTTAATACTCCACTTTATAATAAATATCGTAATGAAAAACTTATTTATGGCTTTACGCTCATTTGAAAGTACTAAAGGGTTTCTGAACATTTGGTATAAAATATTAGTAAAATCGGTTATTTGCCAGACGAGATCAAATATAATAATTTTCGTTGTTACAAGCATAGTTCAATTTACTCGAAAAATTTAAATGTTTAACAAATTTTTATAGTATTTATTACCTGAGTTGGTGTCAAATGTATGAGACTGGCTAAATGTTCTCTTTCTGGTGCGGATAGGTACCTTTGCTGCTTAAAGCGTCTCTCTAATTCGTACACCTAAAAATTCGAGTAACAAAAAATATTTTATAAACGTATTTTAAAGCAGCTACTGAAGGAATAGGAATTGAACTATAAAAGCAATAAGTACTAATGTATGCCTCTACAATTGAACAGCCTCCTGTTATAAAGCATAAACTTATTTATTTGAAGGATATAAAATAAAAAAGTTTCATAATTTATTTTTTTGAAAGTACATTAATTAGGAGATAAAATAAGTATGTATAAATTTCTTGTTCTTATAAAATTTGTTAGCTTTATCAAATATAATATATTATTTGCTTGAATAATAGACGGTATACTTGTAAAAACATGGAGCTTATAATTGGTGTGTTCCAAAGTAAACAGGAGTCTTTTTGAAGCCAGCGCCTCCTGGTGGTGCCACCTATATGTCGCCGCGTTAGAATCGATACCTTTATCGATTGTCCAGTAAGCATTTCATGACATTTCATAGATTGGAAGTGAAGTTATTGCGTTTTAAGTGTCTAAGTGCTAAAACACTCATGCGACATGCTTTTGAACCTTGTAAAAAGCTGTACTAAAGCAGACTATTTTCAATCAAATAAATTTATTTTGCGGAAAAAAACCATTTGTTCAGTATTTTTTTTTTAAGTCTTGTTTTCTTTCTAACACCTCTTGTAACATAGAATTAAAGTGAATGCAATGTCTGAGAAATTTACGCATGTGAGGAAATTTCTCTGAACGCCATTCACTTGGGAGTGGCCTGAAARAATTATTTTACAAAATAACTCAAGCAGTTCACTGTCGACTGCCGGTCCTAGACCCACCGCCAACAAACTGATTAGACCATCAGCGTGGCTTTAGGCGTGGACCGCAGACCAGATATTTGCCATGCACCAAATCTTGGAAAGGACCCGTGAGAAAGGTCGAGACAGACCACCCTTTGGTTGATTTTAAAGGAGCCTTCGAAACGAAAAGAAACTGCTTTAAGTTTCTATGTCTGAACTTGGTATCCCAGCTAAACTAATACGGTTGTGTAAGCTGACGTTAAGCAGCACCATACCAAAAAAGGTTACAGACAAATAKACTTCCTATCGTGCAACTTCTTCAATTTAATGTAGGCTGTAGAGCGGCTGAGGAAGCGTTGGGACGGCGATTTGGTTAGGTAGCTGTTTATAAGAAAGACGGTGTGAGCTGAGCGTTGTAGTGGTGCAACTTCCAATCGGCTGCGATGTATTGTGTGATGTGAAGGGGCAATCCTTCGTTTGAGTCTCTTCCATGTAAAACTTGGCATTGACAATTTGTGCAGGAGGAAAAAATGCATTGTCTTTGATGTCAAAAATACAATGAGCAAATGAAAGCTAACTTTGGATCTGCTCATTCATCAGCGAACTCTTTCCGGTCCTCCTAAAAAGGCCTGTGCCATCGAAACATACAGCATCTTGCTAAAGCATCATCTGGATAAGCCTGTTTGATTATATCAAACGTCTCTGTTGCAGATTTACCTAGTTTTACACAGGATTGAATCGGGTACCTCTGCTCTAACAAACATTGTAATTTCGGCTTGCGGCACTCACGGAAATACGTCGCGCGAAAGTTTTTGTCCTTACTCTTCAGGTGCTAAGGAGCCGCTCGTTCATTAGCTATGAACACCYTCTACCGAATCCAGTCAATGCGCGAACTCTTCGAAGTACAGTCACGGCGGAAGAAAATCAGTGCTGAGTAGACAACTCAGAAGGGAACTCCTCACTCGACGAACAATGACCAAATACTAAAGGTCAGTCATCATTCCCGTCCTGATATATGGTGCCAAGGAATAACATCTCATGAGAATTTTCGAGAGAAAGATTCTGCGGAAGATGTATGGTTTTTTGCGCGCATTGGCAATAGCGAATATTGCATTCGATGGAACGATGAGATGTAAAAGTTATACGATGACATTGAAAGAGTTCAGCGATTTAAGAGACAGCGGCCACGTTTGCTAGATCATATTGTCCGTATGGATGAAAACACTCCAACTCCAACCAACTCTGAAAGTATTCGACGCAGTACCCAGCGATGGAAGCAAAGAAAGAGGAAAGACCAGGTGGAGAAGGACCTAACTTGTCTTAGAATCTCCAATACGCCCCACACAGCGATAAAGAACGACTGGCGCACTTATGTAACTTCGGCTAAAACCTAAAGCCTTATCTACGCCAATAAAGAAACAAGGAATATCTGAGGTAATCGCGCTATTTCCAAATTTTTGAAATATCCATAGTTAGGATGGTGTGGATGATTTTGGTTTCTGTTTAAWTTGATTGAATTGCTACAAAGGCATACCTGTATGAGTATTTATTTATTTTTATTTCTTTATAAATGTGAAAAAAATAATACAATTATATTTTACACGAAAAAATGAGCACTGGCCACCAGCACCTTGGGCTCGCTGGTGGACCTAAGGCTAGGTGACTAAAATTTAATTCTATTGTCCCTGCTTTATATATTCAAAATCTTCATAAAATCTATATACATGCTTAAGTAAAACAAAAAAATAAAGTTCTTATCTAAGCTAGGTAGGATGTCATAATAAATGTTTTAGACCGCATTTATCCAGATATTTTGATATTTTGTAACGTTCTCGAGAGACGTAGTTTTCAAAAGTGTTGTAGGTGTTTTGTTATCGAAGATAGTCCTCCTGATTACTGTGAAATGGTGGCATTCGTCGAGCAAGTGATTGACTGTTAGTGAGGCCCCCGGGCAATGTTGGCAGTAAGGCGAACTGGACCGATTGAAGAAGTACGAATGTGTGGCTATTGTGTGCCCTGAACGTAGGCGGACAAATGATTTAACATCGTTACATCGGCAGTTTG